GCATGGCTTCACATTCACTACAGACATGAAAAACTAGACATGAAACCCGGTGGGAGATTGCTACTTGGTGCCTTACAGGTTTGATATTTCAAGCTCTAATGAATTTTTGCTGGCCTTTTTGACATCGGCTGTCTTCCAGACCACTCACTCTTCAACACGCTGTGTTGTTCTGATGGGCAGACAGTGATTACCAAATACCTGTGATGTACCCAGATAAGCAGGGTGAAAGGACAAAAACTGAAGGCTCTGTGAATTGCCTAATGCCACAGTATTGTCTGGTACTAGGACTTTTGGTTTGCAAATCACAGTGATAGATGAAGTACACAAAAAGTACAGATAACCGGCCTCCAGTAAACGTATATCTGTAGAAAAACAGATACTGTTATCCGTTACCAGTACATTTTCTGTTAAGTTTACAGTCATTTCCCTCAACCTTAAAACACAACACGGTGCAATACATAATTCAAAATATGAGTAAATAAAAATCAACAACAACAACATATGGAAATTCTGTCATAGTACAGTATTTTTATGGACTTTATTTAGAGTGCACTGCTCAAAATACCAACACAGTTTCATGGCAATTCTTAATGTCTTAGCGTTTTGGTCGAACTGGTGGCTAATTCGACCTCATTCATCAGAATTTCTCAAACCACATTGACGGTTATGTTTAGGGGTGGACCTTCATGTGTATTTTTTTTTTTTTAAGAAATCGAATGTATTTGTACGATTCACATCGTAACAATTCACACGAAATTGCCTCCTCATTAAATTAAATAGGGTTTCCTGTGAGATTGGGTTGCAAAATACCTAAGGAGATAGGGGTCTAATGTCATAGACACACACACACATAGGACAGAGCTTAAATGAATTTTATCTCAGTCTGACATTGTTATGATTTTTTTTTATAAATTAATGGAAAAATTACTAGAAAACTACTGTAGTTGTCAACATTCAAGAATTTCAAGCTATGAACCAAGTTGTTTCCCCTTAACAGCAGATTTAGTTCACATATAACTTAGTCATGTCACAGCCAAAATATGATTTTCATTTACAACAAACATTACTTAAGTTCAGCATTAGTGTCTTTTTGTACCATCAGTCAAATCCTCTGCACCCTCAAGTTAGAATGTTTAACTAGAGACTCGCTTCATGCAGATCGCTGAATCAGTTGTTGATTCGAGAACAGATGCAATTGGATCAGTTCGCAAATGAATCCTTTACTGCAATTTGTGAACCAATTTAATAGATAAGTCTAAAAGAATCAACTCACATGAGTGATTTGTTCATGACTCAGACATTGCTATCCTGCCGTGGAGCTTTAGTTCAAAAGAACAAGGAATGTAGTCAAAATGAGTAAAAAGTAAGATATTACGTTTTGGAATGAAGTTTTCCAAAGTGAAAATGCTGTAATAAAGGAAACGATATCAGCAAAAGGCACTTAAATAAAATGACTTCATCCACCACTGGCAATTCATAGCCTAAATGCCATGCAACACCTGTCATATTTTCATAATACATTTTCTAAATGGGTTAATTTGTACCAATTCATCAGTCACATACAGTTTCTTGTAATTTTTCCCACTAGCTTTTAATTTAGTCAGTTTTATGTAAAAAAAAAAAAAAAAAAAGGATACTGTGGGTGATAAAGATCATGTTGCATTAATGCTGACAAGATTTTTTGCTTCAGAGACTCAAAGGAGTTTTTTTTAATCAGTGTAGGCCTATATTTGACTGAGAAGTTCAGAAAGTTTGGACACTTTTGAAACACGAGATGTATTGGACTCTGAGATAAGAGATTTCCCATCAGTACCATTCCAAGAAAAGCGCAAGAGTCCATATTAATTAGAATAATCCATCAAAAGCGCTCACTGTATCGGAGTCTAATGATGGCTACATAAAGTTTTAACAGTCACTGTTGCTTAAACTGTTGAACGATGGTGTACGTATCACTAAACATGCTGTTCGGGAGATTATTTTGAGCCATAGCTAAATGTCTTTTGTATGGCAAATAAACAGCCTATTGCTTGTTAAATGAGTCAGAACTACAACAAGTAACCAAAATGAGTGTAGAAGTGATTGGGACTCATTCGGTGAATGACTGGAAAATAGGCCATGACACGACGCATTCAAAACAACATCAGGAGCTCTTAGATAATGCAGACAACAGACCTTTCAGTGCACTTCACAACATTTGCAGCTTGACAGATTGAATATAAACATCATTTTTGGCACAAAAGAAAGCGGGAATGGTGCTTTAGAACTCTCTGGAATAAAGTTAAATCCGAAAAATTTTACATGGTTTTGTGAATAACAATGAAAACTTCGCCTGTCAGCGATGATGATGATGGCAACGGCACCCCATGAAAGCGTTGGGTAGAAAGAGAAGGAAATCAAAGCACAAGATGAGGTAGATTGGTGTTTAGCATTTCCCCTAACATGACATGCCCATTAAAGATTAAGGCTAAAGAGACAGGCGAGGCTAATGGGAAGCGACGCAGCGTTTTAAGCCTCGGCCATGATGAGTTACAACCCTCAGCAGCCGCACTGCTGCGGTGACATGTTGACTGCCCTTGATTCAGCCGGCTCCTTCTCAGAGTCGGCCGGGAGAGCGACGGATCCCCAGCGTACATCCAGCGCCGGCCTCAAGCACAGCTAACCTTTAGTCGGCTTAACGTTACAGAGATTAAAACACACTTGAGTGTACTTTTTTCTTCTGCTTTGTGCCACCCTTGCTTTCATTACTGCGTAGTTCATGTAATCGTGTCTTTGGGCTTATCCTACGATTACCAGCTGTATTTGATTCGAGATATAAGCTTGTAATGAACTCAAGTCAAGAGGGAGTTTGCAACATTTTAGTGCAGCAGAACTTCATGTCTTATGCATATCAGGTAAAAGCTGTTTAAGTTTTGCTCAGGCTCTTTCATTATACGAAAAATCCGCACCTGATGAATGAGCACGTATTGTTAAACAAAGTTCACCCATTCCCTGCTGGAAAAACTAGCTGAAACCGGTTGGCTGGTTTTAGCTGATCTTCCAGCCTGGTCATAGCTGGTTTGCAGGCTGGTTCTACAAGGGTTTTGACTACTCCTTTAGCCTACTTCCAGCTTAAACCAGCTAAGACCAGCCAACTAGTGCAGGCTCGTTTAAGTTTTTTTCTTCTCCAGAAGTAAATAATTATCGATTCACCTTCATGTCATTCAAACTCATAAACTTGTTATTGTTACTGATCACAAAACAAGAATATTCACATAGATTTTTTTTTTTCATACAATACAGTTCACTGCAACCACAGTCAAATGAGCTTCAAGAAGAAGAAGAGGAAGAAATATTAACTGACATTTGGGTCTGTTTTTCTTAGAAGCTATAGCTTAAAACAGATTAGAATATAGCTTTTATGGTCCATTAAATACAAATAAAATTGATAAAATCCTTACTTTGTAATTAAATATAAAATCACAGCAGGGTAAACATAGAAATATTCCCCTCATCTTTTTTTTTTTTTTTCATAGACAACAAAGAAAATCTTTTGTGTGTGTGTGTGCAAATGCAACTGCATATGGGTTTGAATTTTTTTATTTATTTATTTGATAATGAGCTATTCATTTAAAATAACAATACTTTATATGGTTTTCAAATGTATCCATTTGTCTGCTTTTTCAATATTGAAAGAGAGTTGGACTTGTAACCCGAAGGTTGTGGGTTCGAGTCTCAGGTCCGGCAGGGATTGTAGGTGGGTGGAGTGAATAACCAGTGCTCTCTCCACCCTCAATACCATGACTGAGATGAGACCCTTGAGCAAGGCACTGAACCCCCAACTGCTCCCCGGGTGCCGTAGCGTTGGCTGCCCACTGTTCCGTGTGTGCGTTCACTACTGTGTGTGTGCACTTGGATGGGTTAAAGGGGTCATATGATGTTGCTAAAAAGAGCATTATTTTGTGTATTTGGTGTAATGAAATGTGTTTATGCAGTTTAAGGTACAAAAACACTTTATTTTCCACATACTGTACATTATTGTTTCTCCTCTATGCCACGGTATGGGACACCATACTTGGCCACACGTCACTTTCACTTTCAAAAGCACTTCTGCTGGAGCACAATTTTTCCATCTTCTTTCCAATACATGCATACTGACCCTTCTAAATGAGATTAGTGCACCTGAATCCTGGAGTGCTGCTTTATATTTAAGCCCTTAATGGCCTTGTACAGACACACAGAAAGACCAGATGAGACTAGTGTCTAAGTACATATTTGCAGAGAGCGCTGGGTGGCAGGGTGATTGAGTTAACATGGGCATTGTTTGAAATGTCACCATCTGCCTGACAACTGCTGATCCCCAAACAATTTAAAATGAATACTGTTTCCTCTCCCTCCAAATCCAGTGGCGAGCTTTGAGATCTTCATTATAGATTGGCCTAATGAGCTGACGATCTGGGACAGACACTGGAAATTTTTGATAACGATCATGACATTTGGCCTCTAAGAATCATGTTAAAGTCATGCACATATAATGGGGCGTTCACAGGAAGTAATACTATTAGACACATCCTATCGTATATGTAGGACATATATTTCTGATAAAATAAAATACAAAGATAAATTCTAAATATATATTTTTGTGTTCAGAAGTAACAATAACAGCTTATATTTATATATGCTAGGTATGTTTATATATATATATTTTATATTTTATACTTTTTTCGTATTTTTACAGACATACATATCTAAAACATATTTCATATATAAAATATGATTACATTTAAATAAATATTAAATACATTTATTTAAGGTTCTATGATTGAACTTATCTTTGCTCACAAAATGGGCAACAGCCCAACAGTCATTTGCAAAATAAATAAATAAATAAATACAAATTGCTTCTGATAAGACAAAAGCTTAACGTAATGCATTTATAAGTGTTTCTGGGCATGCAAAGAATTGCTCAGGTTTTCTGTAAAAGAGAACATTTATTTTAATGAAAGTTTGATTCCATTTGCACATCATCAAATGAACTGCAACCAGCTCACATTTACAGTTTAACACTTTGAAAACACAGAAACAATAATACTGAATGTACATATTTCAAGAATATTTAGTCATCATTGTGGTATATAAATATTTGGTACAAAATTTCACAAGATATAAAGCAAAGTAGAACATGGACATAATCTACTCTCCCAAGCCACTGGTACAAAGCACTGTTCATTAAACCAAGTTTTTACAGCATGAGTTACCATCTTTTTCTTCATTTTGTCTTTTTTACAGCATATCAATGACAAAGAATGGAATTTCTGCTTCTAAAACACAAATATTTACCTGCTGGAGCGCCGTTCAGAGCTGACTCACCCCCTCCTAACTGAAGAGGTGAAAGCAATCTCAGGCTCATTTTGTAGTTTGAAGAGAGGGCGCAATCATTGCGGAGTGATTTACTTTACGATTTGACTCACACCTCAATACAACACTGTTGTGGTTAACATTCAGCCGAGGAATAAATCAGTTGAGCTTTTATTACTTCCCTGGTTATTTGACTCTCGCTATTAAAAGCAGAAGGTTGTCAGAGGAAAGGTGAGAATTGCAGCTTTAAACTTTGATTAATCAACAATTTTGGTTTCGATCTGTTGGTCCACGAAGCTGTAATTCTATGTATGGATATTAACGTTTCATTCTCTTTCGGCTGGTTTGACTCTTTTGTGGTTCATGTCAAGGTCTCATCCGAATGAATAGACACAGAGGAAAAAAACACACACGCATACAGTGATTAAAGGTAATAGTATGGAATGTAAATTTTGCAGCACGTCATTAAGGGACCGTGTGAAAGTCTGAAAGTCATATTAAGCAGTTCTGAGTTCAACCAAACGTTTGTCAGACTGCTAAAGGAAGCAAAACACATTTAGGTCCAATGACATAGCAGATAATTGTAAGCTTCTGGCTTTTTTTTCTTTTCATGTGGATGATGAAAACCAGTGCCAACCGTAAAACATCTTCTGACCCATTTTCTAGATGGGCTTCATACAATCCGTCTTGATTCGGGTTACAGGACAACACATCTTTTCTTGAGTGCGTAAGAAGATTAGTAAAATTATGCAAATGGTTAATAGTAAGGTTTGAAAATTCCTCCCAGTTATTAGACAACTCCTATGATGTTGAGCGGTTTGATTCTGAGCTGCCCGCTACACGTTGAGGTCTGATGGTGAATTCATAGGCTCGAGTTTGGCGGTGGTTTCATTATTTTCATAAAGTCCTCGGCCTTGGCCTTTTTTTAGTCAATGACCTGCTCGAGTGTCACTTCAAGTGTTTCACAGGCTCACAGTCAACTGATAAACTGCTCTTTGCAGCAGGATTTGAAGAGCGCTTCTGCATTAAATGCTTGGATTTTCAAAAGAACGTTTTCAGCGATGGTTACGGATATGAAAAACTGCAGACATCTCCAGAGCAATCTGGGATTATGCAGGAAGATGTCACCACAGATGATCTTTCTGATGAGAAGTCGGCATACGGATACGTCCTCCTCGCCAGAGCATGAAATTCGTCAGCCAATCAGGACAGAGCAACCGGCTGTCTGATTGTAGGACAAAGAGAAGGATAAAGGGCACTTTGTAAAAGAAATTAGGATGCCTCATTCTGCCACTCCAGCCTTCATGTAGAGGCAGATCAGCAAATGAGTCTCACTCCACAGTCTGTCCGTTAGGAGTCCCAGTCGCTGTCCTCGCCGCCGTACATGTCTGCTAGCTTCCTGAAGCGTGGTCCCCACTCGCTGAGGTAGTTATAGTCCTGCTCCCCTTCTGAGGACACGGACCCCAGCGAACTGAGTGACTCGGCCACCGATCCGTTACCTTCATACGCGTAGGTGGCCAGCGAGTCGTAAGGAGGAGCCGTGGGGTTGCCATCGTTTTCTTGCACGCGCTGGTTGATAAAGTCCCGCACATCTGCGTTCTCACGGGACGGCACCAAGGTTCTGCGAAGTGGCGGCGGAGGGTAGAGCGACTCGGAGGGTAAGATGTCCCGCCGCAGTTTGCTCTCCTCCATTACTTCCGGATGCCGAAGCGCTCCGATGTCAAAGGCCTGAGTGTCCTCCTCGCCGCCGCCCTCGTCATTGTAGCTGACCACATTGTCCCTCACGTCCTCCTTGGAGATGATCAGAGGCTCTTTCTTCTTCTGACGTTTCATGGCAGCAAACAGCACCACGATCACTACAGAATGAGAGATGGAAAAATGCAATTATTATAATTATTATTGATGCACCAGAATGAAAAACCCTTGCAAATATTATTTATACTCATACATGTATATACAGGTTTGGTGTCAGTAAGTTTTTATTTTTAATTTAGCAAGGATACATATAAATTGATCAAAAGTGACAGTACATTTATAATGTCACAAAATATTCAAATAAATGCAATTCTGAACTTTCTATTTATCAATGAATTATGACAAAAAGTATCAAAGTTTCCACAAAAATATTAAGCAGCACAACTGTTTTCAACATTGATAATAATAAATGTTTCTTGAGAAGTAAATCAGCTAATATTGGAAATATTTCTGAAGGATCATGTGACACTAAAACCCAGAGTAATGGCTGCTGAAAATTCAGCTTTGCCATCACAGGAATAAATTATTTACATTTGAAAATATATTATTTTATTTTAATTGCATTCAAAATAAAAGTTTTTTTTTATTCACTGATGCTCCAGAAGGAAACACGATGCATTAAGAGGAACTTTTGAACAGGATGAAGATGTCAACATTTTTCTTATTTTGTTGAAATATCATTTTTTTTTCCCATTTAGTACTGCCCTTCGGAAGCAACAGAAGATACTTGCATGTTTCCCGGAAGACAAATTAAGTACAATTGACCTTGATCTTCAAATGTAAAAAGTGCTCTTAATGCATCGTGTTTCCTTCTGGAGCATCAGTGAATGGTTGAACCTTTTTTAATAGTTGTGTTTGAGTCCCTCAGTTGTCCTCAGTGTGAAAAGATGGATCTCAAAATCATACTGTCACTGCTGGAAAGGGTTCAAATATGCTAAAGATGGTGGAAAACCATCACAAAACAAACAAACAAAAAAAAACAGTCATAGATCATCCAGGTAACCACACACAGTATTAAGAACCAAGGGTTCCCAAACCTTTGAAGGGGGTCATTTTAATCATTTCAGCTATTTTTTTTGTCTTGTGGACTATATGTAAACATCTTTTATGTAAAATATCTTACTCAAGACAGTACTAAATAAAAAAATGATATGCATTTTGTATGATCTCTCTTATTCTGTTAAAATTATTCACATTTTCACAGATTCTGCAAGAAGTTCCCAAACTTTCGCATGCCACTGTGTATATATATATATATATATATATATATAAACATTTTAGAATTTTAGGTGTATTTATTCAATATACAATTTAAACTGTTTATTATATTGCAGTTAAAATGCATAGTATAAATAATTTAATACAGACAGTTTTGCTTGAAAAAAAAACAAAAAAACACTCTAACTTCACAGATTCTGCAAGAAGTTCCCAAACTTTCGCATGCCACTGTGTATATATATATATATATATATATATATATATGTAAGATAAAATACAATTAGCAACTCAATGCTGCTAAATAGCGTTAGCTAAAACCACCCGCAGAAAGCAGGTGGTAAACGAAATGTCATTTGCTACTGATCATTATAGCAGATATTCATCAAATGATGAATAAGAGCATTATAAACAGCCATATGTTTAGATGTGCGGTGTAGTTAAGTACGCTTTTGGCATTTTGAAGAAGTGATTCAGACAGCGTGTGCAACCACACTTTCAGTGGGCCACAATTCGTTTTTAGTAACCCCCCAGTGCCATTTGGTTGCTTTTATCAGTGAACTTTCACTGTAGTGGAGCAGGAATTGTTTTATACATGATGCATGCTTTCACCCTGTGGGTGACACCTAATGTAGGCGTCAGGTCGTTAAGAGAGCCACTGCGTGCAGTTCACAGGTGAGATCTAGCTGATGTTAACAGTTAGCAGAACTCAAATAAGCAAGCTTTCCTACAGCAATTCAAATGCATCGTCAAAAAAAAAAAAATAAATAAATCCACAGTAAATCGATCAATTACAGAAGCATGTTAGTTGTATGAAGACACAAGTGCTTCAATTAAAATCAAATCTAAAACTGAAATGTGATATTCCTTTTTTTGTTGAATGAAATCAAGGATGGATTGAGTTTAATTTAAATTTAGCTCTTGTTACCCAGTTTCCTGAATAAATAACCAACAAGTGAGTTTTATCAGTTCAGCCATCTGAGCATGTCAGAAATAGTTTTTCTTTATTTTCCTTTTTTCCCTCCATAATTGCAAATTATTTTACATGCAGATCAGGCGTACACACTTCAGACCAATGGAATTGTAATTAATCACATGGCAGCACAGACAAAAGCGCTAACTGACAGGAAGACAGGTGGGAAAATGAACTGAAAAGTCCCACTAACAAAGGGCTTGAAAGATGAACAGTCGGATTCACAGCAGACAGACAGATGGAGGAAGCGGCCATCAGACAGATGGACGTAGGAAAAGTGATCTGATTGTTAAAGTCAAAAGAGAGAACTGAAGGCTACTTACAGAGCAGGATGAGGATGCAGAGCAGGATGGCCACCAGCGCCCCCGTGCTGAGCCCCGCAGCGCTGCTCAGAGCCTCGGCGTTGCACATCTCCATGTTGCCGTCTCGGTCGCACGTACAAACCCGAATTGTGAGCGTGCCCGTGCTGCTCTGCATGGGAATGTGTCCGTCTGAGATCACCACAGCCACTAGATGGGTGCTCTTGTGCATTCGGCCAAATCCGGTGCGTCGTGTTAAGATCCCAGCTGTGTTATCTGCAGAGAGTTGAGCATTTAGTTTATTAAGAAACGAAAGTTCTGGCCTCTCTGCAGACCGCAGCGGGCCCAGACTGACCTAAAGTTATGGCTACTGCAGAACGAGCTGCCTCAGTTTAAACAGCTAGACTTGGAGAGGCCATGTGTCTTAAAGATTTCTCCCATTTGATTGGTCTGTGTTGTCATGAAGAGAGACAGTGAGCTAGTTAGAAGGCCAGACAATGTGAGAGGGCACCCACCTCCATTATCTCGGACTGAAAAGTTTGCTCGCACTGAGCTCTCTGGTGCTAAAGAGAACAAGAAGCGATGTCCACCGACCGGGTCATCTGGATCCACTGCGCTTATCGTCTGGATTTTCTGTGGCAAAGAAGCAAATGATGACAATCACATATTTAACAAAGTCCATAGAACAAACATTACAAATGGTATTTGGTCTGGTTTTATGTCATGTCCCCATCATAAATATATAATTGTATATTATATTATATTATATTATATTACAGGCAAAACATTGTTTTTTATGCATTGGCCTTTTTGATTTCAAGTGTTTCTTTTTCTTCAGAGTCATGTCCCCATCATAAATATATAATTGTATATTATATTATATTATATTACAGGCAAAACATTGTTTTTTATGCATTGGCCTTTTTGATTTCAAGTGTTTCTTTTTCTTCAGACTAGTGGAATAAAAAAACATCAAAAATACACTTTTAATGTTTCTTTCATTGCACTTTATCTTTCGATTGTAATAAATACACTGTATTTAAAAGCCATTTTTCTTAAAATTACATGTTTTATTCCTGCACTGAGCCAGAACTCTCCATTTCAGTAGCACTGACATACAACAAACTTTATCTACATTCTTTTTACAGTGGGATTGATCATATATCGTGCAGGATTTTATAAAACATTTTATTCATTTTTTTTTTCAGATTTATGGAATTATATCTCAAATCTGCTCTGTACATTTGACTCTAATATGTCAACAAACTGAAACAAGAATTTTGAAACTGGCTTTATCCAATGTTCAGATGTTTATTTTAGAAATATATGCAAATTAATGCTTATTTAACTAGGTAATGCCTAATTTGCATATTTAAACAACAATTAAAAAAAACTTAGAATTTTTTTTTGCAGTTCTTAATGTAATAACCATACTTCTACTGGGGAAGTATGGTTTATTATTTGTTAATTTATATTTATACATTATTTTTTTTCTCTATTAATCTATTCACCTGGGGTGTCTTGCCTTAAAGATAAAAATCATAGTTTTTATTAGCACTTTTATCCATTTAACTAATCTAGTTTATTTAACTAAAAGACAATTTTGCTATTTATGTCAACTTCTAATATCAAAAACATACATTTTTTTCTAATGTAGCCGACATTTTTTATTATTTTTTTCTAATAAAAATGTTTCAAACAAAATATTTTCAACATCTTTCTAGAGATATTGTGTTAATTAGCAATGATAGATGTTTTTTTTCAGTTTCAATTTCCACCAGTTTTTTTTTAGTCTTCTTCTAACTCCTTTTAGTTAAATTTTGCTCTGCATTTCCTTCCAGTTAGGTCTCCAGTTAATTCTCAAATTTTGTGATAAATACCATTTAAATGCATTGACCAGAGAGCTTGACCAGCACATATAGGTCTGCACATACCACACATTACTTGCATATTTTGTTCATTTTTATTTAAGGTACACAGCTGGAAATGTACTGCATACGGTACTGCATGACCCATTCACAATGTCAATCTTTCATTTTTTCTAATAAAAATGTTTCAAACTAAATATTTTCAACATCTTTCTAGAGATATTGTGTTAATTAGCAATGATAGATTTTTTTTTTCAGTTTCAATTTCCACCAGTTTTTTTTTAGTCTTCTTCTAACTCCTTTTAGTTAAATTTTGCTCTGCATTTCCTTCCAGTTAGGTCTCCAGTTAATTCTCAAATTTTGTGATAAATACCATTTAAATGCATTGACCAGAGAGCTTGACCAGCACATATAGGTCTGCACATACCACACATTACTTGCATATTTTGTTCATTTTTATTTAAGGTACACAGCTGGAAATGTACTGCATACGGTACTGCATGACCCATTCACAATGTCAATCTTTCAGACCTTACAAGTGTTTACATGTAAACACTATAAGCATGTTTACAGCGAGGAAAGATGTTGGCTCAGTGATAGAGGCTCATGGTTATCTTTAGTTGTCACCAAGGTCAATTTTAGTTTAAATGCATCTCTCAAGGGTGCACTGGCAACACGCTGTGACAAAAATGTAATCATGCATTGTGTGCTTGGTGTTTTTTCTCTACCAGGCTTACGTACTGGCCAGATTTCTTGTGTTGCTGGCTGGCTTCCCTTTCCTCTGGGCTTTACTGCAGTCTGGTAGAATATAACTGCCGAACAGAACCAAACTCCCAGCCTTATCTCACACTGCCGTCGCTTAAATATAACTAATAAACATCATAATAATTACTAATTGTTTAGTTTCATCATGCAAGTAACAGCATTGCCACATAAGTCTGCTGTTTTGTAACTCTCTTTTACCTATACATACTTAAATAGGAGACGCAAATTGTTTAATGATGTATTACTCTTATCTGTATGACCAAAAATGACAGAGCATTGTAAATTATTTTTGCCGTTATCATGAAAAAATACAATTTAACACGCCTACGCATTTGCCGACCTCTACTATACATATACTAATATATATATATACTTTTGATAGATGTGGTTGATAGCATATATGCTTGTTTCTGTAAAAAACTGTGCAATTTATATAATTATGAGACTTTTTTTAGTGATTAGATATTCAAATATTATTATCCATCCATCCATCTTCCAAATCACTTATTCTCTGTTTTTATTTCTTTTATTTTTTTAGATACTTTTTAGATAACCTCACTAAACTGTGTTAGATTTATTCTTAAAAAATGAAAAAAGCAACACTTAATATCTTATGAAATTTTGCATCAAGTAAATTGAGAAGGATGTTCTGACATTTTTACTGATAGATTTGGATAGATGTAGTTGATAGCATATGCACTTGTTTTCTGTAAAAGTTGTGTAATTTACATAGGACTTTTTCAATGAATAGATATTGAGTTATTATTATCCATCCATCCATCCATCCATTTTCCAAATAGCTTATTCTCTGTAGGGTTATGGTTAAATGACTATTATTTATTTATTTAATTGTTAGATTGTTTGTTCTTGTTTTTAACATAAACCTCACTAAATTGTATTAGATTTACACTTAAAATAAGAAAAAAATGGCAACAATAAATATCATATGAAATTTAGAAGGATGTTTAAATTGATTTTAAATTGAGAAGGATGTTCTGACATTTTCACTGGAAATCAAGATAAAAAAACAAAAACATTTTTTTCTGAAATTAATTGTGATTAATCGCAATTAATCCCACCCCCCCCCCAAAAAAAAACTTTTATATTGCAATAATTTCACATTCAATCTTCAAATGAATGTAGAAACAATATAAAGATAGTATATTTTTAATATATATTTAATGGCATCTTTTTTATGACTGAAGGCGAGTATTACTGATACCAATACTACTGATGTCTTTAGGAAATTGTTTTGTTTTTCCTCTATTTATTTTTTAAATGGGATTTACCCTATGTAATGTATGTTCTTAATAAAGAGTTTTCGGTCTTTTTGTACCCAGTAATAACTAAACCTTGGCACACCCCAGGTTGAACAATTCTGCCAGCAGCTGAGGTGGGCGGGTCAGTGAGGTGGGTGATGACGGACAACGAGGGATACAAGAAGAGTCAGGAAATGGAGGAGAGGTGGAGAGCTATTATGAAGTGCCTGTGATATGTGACAGCCCCTGTCATCCACCATGACACATAATCTCATCAAGCCTGACAGAAAAAGGCTCTGCCGTCTAATCCATGAAGGAGAAATACTCATCACTGATCTCTATCTCGCTCCGGAGGTGTGAGTTCTGTAGAGGTCACACACTGTTTAACAGACGCCCCTGCTTTAAATCGACACATCCAATCGCCGGCCGAACAGGAGAACTGGACTTATTCCCCCTTATCTTACATCGAAATTGACAATGTGGCAGATAAAATGGGAAACGTATACTAAAATGCTCTTTACCTGACCGGCTTTGGCATTTTCACAGACGAAGGTCTCGTAGAAGGATGCCAGCATGGGGGGGTTATCGTTGACATCCAGTACGCGGATGTACACAGGCACTCGGCTGGTCTGCTCAGGGTTGTCTAAGTGTCCTTAAAAAGATGTGGCAGATGATGGTTGACTACTTGAGATGATAGAAACTCACATTATTGGAGTCGCAGGAGGAAACTGGATTTCTAATTTAAAAAAGTAAACTAATATATTTAGTCAATATAAGCTGTCATGGCAAATGAAAATGCGTAAATCCTATTGGAGAAATTTAATGCTGGATGACTTGAGCTTATCAGCCTAAATTCATTCCAAATGAGCTATGAACCGCGTGGAGTCACTTACTGAACTCGGTCGCGATCACTGAGATGTTGTGCCAAGCGAATTCTTCTCGATCCAGAGGCCTCTGCAGGAATATAGATCCATTCCCAGCATAGACACCAAAAATCCGGTCCACATCTGTGTGCCGGTCAATGGAGTACCTGTAATTCAAACCATTTAGCTCAATTGTCAACATGTTTTCAACAGTGTTAAAGGAGTAGTTAACTTTCAGAATGAAAATGCTGTCGTCATTTACGCACCCTCCACTTGTTCCAAACCTATCCGAACAGTTGATGGACACCATTGACTTCCATAGTATTTTTTTTTTCCTACTATGGAAGTCAATAGTGCCCATCAACTGTTTGGATATTAACATTTTTCAAAATATCTTCTTTTGTGTTCAACAGAAGAAAGAAACTCATACAGGTTTGGAACAAGTAGAGGGTGAGTAAATTATGACAGCATTTGCATTCTGGAAGTGAACTACTCTTTAAGTTATTTTCAAAATGTGTAACTCTTCCAGTAATTAGCTACTTTTAATTAGCATTTTAGCATGACAAAACATGTCATGTGTTGCAAGGTAAAACAACATTGCTACACATTTTGAATTAAGACATGACCTGTGATAAACAGGTTTGGCCCATTTGCTCAGAGAAAATGGAGCGTGAAAATCATTAAAAATTCAGAGAAAAAAACAGAAATCTTTTTTAGTCAGTGTTGTCATAATTGTTGTTTTGTCTTTATAGGGAAGACTAATCAGATCCGCACTGCTATACTTGCCCCTTTCGCTCTCCTGTTTAGTGCTGGAAATTAATTGTTCAGATGGTTCATGTAAATTAACTGATTCTATCAAAGTGACTCGCTGATTTGAGTCCCTTTGCAAAAATCACTGTTGCTGTTTAGGTCTTCCTTATTTAGCCTAAACAAAAATATAACTAAATGTTGTTGCATTTAGCATAAATTAATCAGTTCATTCAGTTTCTACAGTCAGAGAAAACCTGGAAATGCCAGTAAATGTAAAAAAAAATAAATAAATTTGACAATACATTTTCTGGTTATTATCAGCTACGATCATTTAACTATTCTTTGTAAGCGTTTTGTAATTACTATTAAATGTTTTTTTTTTTTTTATTCTTACACAGTAAAAGGAAAAAATAAAACATGAAAGATACTACTTTTTCAAAAGTGTGCATTGACTAGTTTGAACACTTAAAATTCTAATTAGCTTGTAACTTGGCAAAACAGTATCCCCAAAACTGGTTTTCACAAACATTAACACGACTGATCCTTTAGAGCAGGAGACACTTGAGAAAGCTTGATGCACACCACAGCTATAACTGCATGAAATCCCACTGCCCTGAGCCCACACATGCCCAGTTCCCATTTGTTCTTCTTTCACCAGAAGATCACAATATTGCTCTTTCAAATGCAATCAATCAGTGGGATTGTTCAATTTCCTAATTAGCCTCCTGATGTTCAGAGCGACAGTGTTGCTCGTGCTTCTGATGTCCCTGATAATTACCAGCCCTGAAGTCCTGTTCTCTGCTGCAGAGGGCTTTTTAATTGCGCTTCCATTCTGTGTTCTTATTTACTGTGGACTCCGGAGGGAAAAACATCCATTTATTGTCCTCCTGAGCCTTCTGCATCAGCTTTATCATTAGGGCGCTTTGGACAGTGATAATATCCTCATTTATTCTTATAATTGTAGTTTATTACAATTATCTCATAAAGATGCTGCAATTGAAGGACCTCTCGAATTAAATATGAATTTAATAAGCACGCTCTGAGGAAGCAGTCCATCTAAGCTCATATCGCCATAGCTCCAGACAGATTAATCAGGGTTTTGCGATTATCAAGAGGTCGCTGGAAGAAACGGGCAGATGTTTAAGAGGCTTCTGCCAAGCTATTGTGTGTTGGGAAATGTGCATTTAAAGAGATTTACCACAATCTTGTAAATATAGATGATGGAAACAATGTGGGATGATATTAATTCAAAGCCCTTACTTGACCGGACTGCGGCGTATGTCAGGATCCACAGCGCTGACCGATCCTATCATGGTGCCCACAGCCGCGTCCTCTTTCACCTCCAAAATATAGCTGATTTTCTCAAATTGAGGAGGCTCATCCACATCCTCAACACTGACCCTGATGGTCGCCATGTCCTTAGCGTCCGAGCTCAGAAAGCGTGGGTCTGGATGTGTGTTTTGGACCTGGATCTGAAGCGTGTATGATTTCTTCTTTTCATAGTCCAGAGGCTGCAATGGAAGAACACATTCACAGGAATAAACAAACCACTCTGGGTCAAATTTTCAGCAAAAAAACCCTGCATTTTATTCACAAACCATTCAGATTAATTCTAAAAAAGGCTTTTCAAACATGCACGAGTGAAATGAAAAATCCTCTGTACCTTCTTAAGACTAAGTATGCCTTCTTGGGTGTTCTTGTCAGTGCTGACGTCGAACACATCCAGACCGTCTCCGCCAACAACAGTATAGTCCATCTCCGCATTTCTGCCGACGTCGGCATCCACAGCCCTGATCCTGCCAACCGATGATCCTACCTTGGTGATCTCTGGAACGCTGAACTGATATACACCTGGAGAACATAATGTTAATGTCAGGTTGTGCTTGGAACTATGAATTCTCAAGAGTCTTCTTTTTCTTGAGAGAAGATCTATAATTTAAACACCAACTATAGTGAACCCAAAATAAGGGTTCGGGGGAATTTTTACATTAAAAAATCTGATCCCTGTATCTAACACTGCAGCCAATTAAAGTGTTTTTTTTTTTTAAAGCATAGTCTTGGTGTTCTCTTTACTGTAATAAATGGCGAACGTGACTGATATTGTGCTGCCTGCCATAAATCCGCTTTGTGCTCATACCCTGCATTTCTCTGATTAACAAGACAAAAATTCCAAGCATTTTCTATTTGCATGCAGGCTAAAAGAATAGATTATATTAAGAAAAACACAAAACAGTAAGTGAGCTGAGCCCACTCTGTCCATTTAATCAGGATTAACACACAGACCTCACACAGTTGCTAAAGCTTTGCCACTAACCATTTTCCTTCACACAAAGATAAAAATTTTTATCCGTCTTTGTTTTTTTGAAGTTTCTGTATTGTATAGCTTGCTATTTGCCCTATCAGAAATCTTTGGAATTATGGAACAAATGTCTTGTGCAAATATCAGATCGGTGATATTTCTGCATTTACATACATATTTTTCTTTTTATTGAATGCATGCTTACTCTGCATGAAACGAGGAGGGTTATCGTTGACATCGGTGAGGCTAATGTTTACTGTGGTGGTGCCTGTTAAGCCCCCCTTCTGGCCGGCCATGTCCTTGGCTTCGATCACCACCTGGTAGTGCTCCCTCTGCTCCCTGTCCATATCGGAAGGTCCCAAAGCCGTCCGGATTATACCTGAGGGAAAGATGGTTTGTTTTAATTTGTTAACATCCGATCCAGCCTAGTTTCCTTACTCTAGGAGATGGACGACACTAGATCGCAGTGGCAGCTGAGTCTTGGTTGTGTTTAAACAGTGCAGAACTAATTGTGTACATGCATTGAGACTGACATTTTGCCGCAGAAATTATTATAGGCAGCAGCTGCTGATTGAGAGATCGCTGCGGGTTCTGAAGAAACAAGAACTTGGATTATTAAAACCGGTGTTTTACAAGCCAAACCAATTTGATCGCAAGCAATTTCAGAGTAAGACAGTGTTAGACTTGCTTGACAGATTTGGACCAGCAATTCTTTGCAAAAGAAGTGAAGTTAAAGGGATAGTTCACCCAAAAATTAAAATTCTGTCATTAATTACCCTCATGTCGTTGCAAACCCATAAGACCTTCGTTCATTTTCGGAACACAAATTAAGATATTTTTGATGAAATTCGAGATCTCTCTGACCCTCCCATAGACAGCAAGGGTACTACCACGGTCAAGGCACAGAAACGTAGCAAGGACATCGATAAAATGCTCCATGTGACATCAGGTGTGCAACTGTAATTTTACGAAGCTACGGGAATACCTTTTGTGCACAAAGAAAACAAAAATAATGACTTTATTCAACAATTCTTCTCCTCCTCATCCTGTCTGCTGTCATGCGCCGCCATTGTGGACAGAGTATCACGACGCATGCGCATGCTTCCGCTTGCTTCATGTAAACGACGCATGCGCATGGTGCGTCTTCTTGAATATTCAGTGAATTTTCTTTGCATACAAAAAGTATTCTTGTAGCTTCGCAAAATTGCGGTTGAACCCCTGGTGTCACATGGATTATTTTACCGATGTCCTTGCTACGTTTCTGGACGTTGATCTTGGTAGTACCCTTGCTGTCTATGGGAGGGTCTGAGAGCTCTCAGAATGCATCAAAAATATCTTAATTTGTGTTCCGAAGATGAACAGAGGTCTTACGGG